AGTTTGCGGGCATGGTGGCTTAGTGCAAAGACACGGGTTCGAACAGAACCCTAGTTCCCAATTCCAATCTTTTTCCAATTCAATTATATGCATATATAATTCAATAGTATATATATTTCAATGAAACACATATGTAATTTGATGCATATGCAAAATAATAGTTTCAATGCATTTACATATGTATGTTTCAATTCATGGCAAATATCAAATTCACATAATTGCAGCAATTTTGGTTATGAGGCATACACAATTTATGTAGAATCTAAAATACGTTAAACGTAAAGTTGGGACATGCATCATGGTGAATGTTCATGCGATCAGGGCTTCAAAAATATCGAGTTAAAAGCCGTTGTTTTGGAAGAACCTGATTGCGTGATGATATGAATGAACTGGTTTGATGCAGAAAAATTATTTCTTCAATTGCGGCTTTCATCTTCAAGCTTGTATCACGTTCAACATAAGAAGAAAAATAAATTGAATCAATAACAATATATGAATTCAATAAAATCAAGATTTAATCAATTAAAAATAATTGAAACGTAATACTCCCCTGATTGTAGACGAATAAATTCTCTTTAAATTCTTCTAAGCACAGCGTGAAGAGCGTGCTAATAACGTGTTGTGGCCTATATTTTACAGAGATATGCGGCAAAGAGAAGAAGAGAGATTGGAGAATAGACTTGAGGAATTGTGTGTTAATTCCCCAGTCCTTGTGCCTTTATTTATAGTAATTAGGAGGAGAGAAACTTGCTCTCAAGTAATACAAAGTATATTAGGAAAGATCTTCCAGATCTCAAAGGATTCCTATTTTATCTCTACTTAGGATTTACACAATCACATATTGATAAGAACATATGTCACAACATTATGTTATAAGTTCATGGCCAAATATATGAAAAATAAAATGAAACTTACCTAATATACGCCTAATAATTGACTCATGTGCATGTTTTAGCACATTATTCATTGAGTAATGCCTAATATGCCTAATACATGACCTATGCCTAATATGCCTAATGTGGCTAATGAATTTGTTACATATATTAGGATGTTTTATCTCATTATTTATTTTTCCAAGTAAATTATTTTTCGTGTGATATTAATTTATGTGTAAATAATTGACCTATATTATCATGTAAAATATAGAAAAATTAATTTTAAATGGACTAATATTTTTTTTATTTTTCTAGGTAAATTATTACTTATTTTTAAATATATTAAGCATATTTTATTTTTTATTAAAAATAAAAATAAAATATGTATACATTAGGCATATTAGGCCATAAATTTATATATAGGTAAATTAATTAGGCATACAATTAGGCAATGAATTTATATTTTAGACATATTAGAGCATTCCTAGAATAGATATCCAAAAGTTCACATCATTAATAACGGTAAAAAAAAATAAAAAATAAAAACACTAGTGTTTTTCTAACGAAATGTCAATACCTATGTGGCATGACGTGAGAATGGCAGCAAAGATAATTGTCGTCAAATTTGACAGCAGCTTTAAATAAATTTTAATTAATTACTAAATTCTTTTATTATTTTTTTTCTCTAATTTTAAAGCATTTTCTTTCATTGCTATTCCAATGTTTTAATACTCTTATACCTTTTAGTTCATTTCCTTTCATTACCAATGCAAAGAAAATAAATATGATTTTTATTTTATGTTTTAAATTTGACATACCGGGTGGAGAACAAAACTTGAAAAAATGTCAAACTGTCATATAGGTTGTCAAATTAAAATTTGTTTAAAATTTGACATCTCATTTCAAGATGATCTAAGAGGATTTCCAAAGGAGATGCCAAAAAGTCTACATCAACAAAGGTAAAAAAGACAACACTAGTGTTTTCCACCCGAAAAATCAATTTCTATGTGGCATGACATGGAATGCAGCAAAGATAATTGCTGTCAGATTTGACAGCAACTTCAAATAAATTTTAATTAATTTCTAAATGCTTTTTATTAGTTTTCCATTGGTTTAAAGCATTGCCCTTTCATTTCCTTTCATTAGCAATGCAATGTTTTTATACTTTTATACCTTTTAGTTCCTTTCCCTTCATTACAAATGCAAAGAAATTAAACACAAATTTTTATTTTATGTTTAAAATTTGACATTTTGGGTGGAGATTCAAAACTTCAAAAGATGTCAAAGTTTTATATATAGGTGAATTAATTAGTACAAAAATATAGACATGTTATTTGATATAGAATTAATTTAGCTATATTTCAAAAAGAAAATATGTGTAAATTATGTGCATATCATAAATTTATAATTGCCTTAAACTCTTGAAGAAGCTACAGTTTTTCACTTCCACAAATAGTGCAGGTACTATTTGAATTTTAAAATGTTAGATTGCTTAAAAAAAGCTAGAAGGAAGTAAGGATTTCACGGGAGAATAAAAAAAGCCCATAAATCATGCCTTTTAAAACCCAACGAAATTTATCATTATTTTAGGTAATTATATGATTCATTAACATGATTGGTATTGTGACATAAGTTGTAAATAATTTGTAATAATAGGTTCTTTGCTGACATATAAGATCCCACATCGTCCAGAGATGAGGATCATGTAAACCTTATATGTATATTCTCATCTTTACGTAGCACGAGGCCTTTTGGGAGCTCACTAGCTTCGGATTCTGTAGGAACTCTGAAGTTAAGCGAGTTCGTGCAAGAGCAATCCCATGATGGGTGACTCACTGGGAAGTTCTCGTGTGAGTTCCCAGAAACAAAATCGTGGGGGTGTGGTCGGGGCCCAAAGCGGATAATATCATGCTATGACAGAGTCCCACCCGGGATGTGGTGAGGGCCCGGGTCGGGATGTGACACGACATGTCAACAAATTTGAATTTTGGATTTTATTTGGATGTTTAAAGATCTGTGGGTCTATGTTTACGAAACAAGAGTTATAAGTCTCCTAAATAATATTGTATTAAAAGCTTGCTTAGTATGAGGTTAAGTCTACTCTCTCTCCTTAGTATAGAGAATATCGTTTGTTAAAAAAAATGTATTATATATATACAGAAAATCAACTATATAAAAAAAGACTAAAAAAATGAGGCTAAAATAATTTTTGAATAATTTCAAGCTAAAATGTAAGTCCTCATTATTGAAGAAAAAAAACTGTTATTGAATTAGAACCCAAATTTTTTTAATTAAAAATTTACATTTTAACTCCAAACAATTAAAGTTGTCTGATAAATTTTCTAAGTGTTTATAATTCAAGCTTCCATAGGTATTGATACGTGTGCCAAAATAAAAGGTCGACCATGTGACTCAGCAATATTTTAAGCAATTACATCTAGTGTTTAACTCAAGCTTCCACGTTTCTCTTTTTCATGACTCGTCTCCATGAACGACACCCATCCACAAACGAAAAATCTAGAAACAAACTGGAGGACCATTCATTCTCAGCAGCAGCTAGCAGCATATCTAAACCATCTGTGTGTTTGTATTCCCAAAAAGAGAAAAAGCATCTGCGTGTTGTGCTTTAAAAAGAACTTATATAGCACAGTGTTAATGTACATGTGTATAACAAATTAAACGAGAACAATTTACATAGCATGATAAATCATCACTTAAAATCTCATAAATGCATAAGAAAACTTCTCTATATATTTTATTAGCATGATTCAGCGTCACCATTGTAAGTGGTAGTTAAAAATACTTGTATGCATTGAATTTATGCCACCTTGCTAATAAAGTCATGATATGATATTATCCTTGTATTGAAATTAAAATTGTAATGCAACTCCGCCTACGTGCCGCTTCACATAGGAGACTTTCATTTATGCAGCTTTAATATATTTGGTTTGTAGTATATGTGTGCCACCTCGCTGCGCACCTCTGTATCTTTTTTATTTTTTGGTCAGACTGCGCACCTCCATACAGAAAAAGAGGTGGTCCCATCGGATGAATGATGCAATAGTATATGCTTTACAACATTCATACAAGGTGACACATCGAGGGAGAGGTGGCACCTTCTCGTAGCCAGTCCAGACTTCTAAGCATTCACGGCATGCAATAACAAATCGGATCGGCTTCTCTGTCCTCCTACTTTCTATATATTTTTATTCTTTTTTATTTTGTACGGTCACATTTAAGTTATATTAATATTTTATATTGATTTTTTTATAAAGATAATAAGATAAAAATCAATAGTAATATAAAATGTTGACGTGGCTTAACCGTAACCGTATAAATAAAAAGAGATGTGAGTAGAAGGGCAGAGAAGTCAGGTTCAACAAATACCTAATTGAGTCAATAACAATGATTGGATTAAAACTCACTTGAACACATTTTAGGATACGCAACCCTGATCACGATATTTTGAAATAATGATTAGAACAAAAGAAAAAAAAAAGTCGGATGAAATTAGTGAAATATACAATGGTCGTCCATTCACTATAAAACCACGATCCTTCGAAAACCTAAATTAGTGAACCGTACGTCTAATAATTAACCAAGGAAAAAAAAGTGCAAGTAACCGAGGAGTTGGAACTCTGATAAATGATTGGCGAGATAAGAAGTTAACTTTTTTTTTTTTTTTTTTTACAAACGATAATATAAAACGAAAATCATTTAAACTATTATAATGAAGGAATGTTTTAATCTGAGGTGCGGTATTTAACCACCGTGACAATCCATTACTAGTTATTAGAAGTTAATTAATTAAGAAAACAAAAGATACAGTTGTCCCTCCCCCTCCGTTTGTGAAGAAAAGTACTAGCTACATCAAAGCAACACGTCCAGCAAACTCATTAAAGGAAACCAAGTTTAAGCTTCTTTTTTCTGAATTCGATTGGCCATATGTCCGGCAAACTCATTAAAGGAAACCAAGTTTAAGCTTCTTTTTCTTAATTCGATTGGCCATATGAGTCTTTGTCATAAGAATTAAACCGCCAATTCCTACTACTTACACGAACCATAAGTTTCCACGTCTTCTTCAAACTTCTACGTATCTTGCACTATATATATATCTCTCCACCAAAATCAAACTACAAGCCTACACTCATATACAATACAATCAACAAAGAAAAGAGTCAAATTTACAAAAATGGTTTATTCTGCCCAGCACAGAAACATTAGCATTCTTATGCTTCCATGGTTAGGTCACGGCCATATTTCTCCCTTCCTAGAGCTAGCCAAGAAACTCACCAGTCTCAGAGACTTTCACATCTTTATTTGCTCCACACCTGTAAATCTCAGCTCTATCAAGCCAAAACTCCCTCAGAAATACTCTCACTGTATTGAGTTTGTGGAGCTCCATCTTCCACACGATGAGTTGCCTGAACTACCACCTCACTACCACACCACTAATGGCCTCCCACCCCATCTCATGCCCACTCTCAAAAAGGCCTTCGACATGTCCAGCGATAACTTCTCCGACATCCTCAAAACCCTAAAACCAGATTTGCTTATATATGATTTTCTTCAGCCATGGGCACCCTCCCTAGCTTTGTCTCACAACATTCCGGCCGTCGAGTTCATCACCACCAATGCTGCCTTGATGTCACTTAGTGTTCACCAACTCAAGAACCCTAATGCTCAATTTCCTTATACTTCCATCTATCTTCGGGATTACGAAGCTAAGAAGTTCAGCAATCTGCTAGAATCTTCAGCAAATGGCATCAAGGACGGAGAGCGCGTACTGCTGTCAAGTGATCGTTCTCGTAACATCATTTTGGTGAAGACATCTGGAGAGATCGAATCAAAATATGTTGATTATCTCTCTGAGTTAATGGAGAAGAAGATTGTGCCCGTCGGCTCACTTGTTCAAGACCCAATGGATCAAAAGGTCGATGAGGAATCGTCGATCATCAAATGGCTAAATGAAAGGGAAAGATCTTCGGTCGTGTTTGTGTCCTTCGGGAGCGAGTACTTTTTGTCTAAGGAGGAAATACAAGAGATAGCTCATGGGTTGGAGCTTAGCCAAGTGAGTTTCATTTGGGTTATTAGGTTTCCCAAGGAAGAGAGAAGTACTAGCGTTGAAGAGGTTTTGCCAAAAGGGTTTGGGGAGAGGGTGGGAGAGAGAGGGGTGATAATGGAGGGTTGGGCCCCACAGGAAAAAATACTGAAGCATTCTAGTGTCGGTGGGTTTGTGAGTCACTGCGGATGGAGCTCGGTGTTGGAGAGCATCAAGTTTGGTGTTCCGATTATAGCCATGCCTATGCAACTTGACCAACCAGTAAACGCAAGACTGGTGGAGGAGGTCGGCGTTGGTGTGGAGGTTATAAGAACCGGCGAAGGAGGCAGTTTGCAACGGGAAGAGGTGGCGAAGGTGATCAGAGATGTGGTGGTGGAGAAGATTGGAGACTGTGTGAGAATAAGGGCTTTGGAATTGAGAGACAACATGAAGATGAAAGAGGATGAAGAGTTGGATTGGGTGGTGGAGGAGTTGATGCAACTTTGTACGAAGACGGAAGGGGAATCAGTTAGTACCTACTTTTAAGTGAGATTTCGATGTCGACACTTGCAATAATCATTCTTATGATTTTGAATTCTCACGTCAGTGAATCATAAGTCAATCTTTTGAAGTCGTGTTTGTAGATGTTGATCATTTTAATCATTATAATATGGTTTTTAATGGTCACATCAGCTTGTGAATGTATCATAAATATGTCTCTCTACATTTAATCATTATGTATTTATTCGCTTTTGTTGAATTGTTCTATCTCAACTATAATCCAAAAAATTAAAACATAACAATCACATATAATTAAGTTCGACTTTAACTACAGTTAAGGTTTAGAAATTCTTAAAAATATTATTCCAAACAAACGTTGACTGTCGAGACTGTCTTTGCCGTTAGTTTTTGCTCATTCTTCTTTTTTTTTTACCGTTCACGTCTGTATTAAAGATCAACATCAACCTATTAAAATCAATCGGTATAAAATAATTAGATTATTCTAGTTCAAACGTACATGAAATTGTTCTAAAAGATTCTAGCATGTAATATTGGAGGTGGCCGATGCATACTTGAATATGCTAGACAATTCTAACAAGCTATTCTCGGTAAAATGCTATGCTAGAAAACTCTAGCAAAGCAGCATCAATTTGAAAAAGCCAAGTCGGTTGACTTAGGCTAGAATGATCAAGAAAATGTTTTGTTATAGAAAATTCTAGAACAATGTGGTTAGGATGAAAAGAACCCAATCTCACCGACTTGGTAGGTCGGTTATGCCATGTATAAATATAGGTGTGGTGTTGGAACTAAATAACTGAGAGGAAGTAATAAGAAACCGAGTAATCAAGCAAGTAGGCAAGAAGTGAGAAGTAAGAGTAGTCTTGTAAGAGTGTAAGTGATTTAGAGTTTGTCTTTAGAAGTGAGAGAGTGTTATAGCTTCTAAAGTGTGTTCTTGAAAGTTGTGTGTTGTAATATTTTATAAGTGTAATCCAAGTAGTTTGTTGACTTATTTTGTCTCTCCAATACTTATATTAGAGTTGTGTACTCTAATTTTTCCTTAACAGTTTGTCTTTCTCCTTTGTCTCTCTCCATTCTTGTGGCTTAAAAGAAATTTTATTTGATAAATTATCAGTTATTGGTTGTGTTTTATATATATTTTTTTTCATAAAATTTTCTTTCCCTGCGTGTTTTGGAGATATTAAATGTGATGTCTGGACTGTAGCTACATCTGCTGTTGTTGCTTACTGCGCAATTTCAATGATCAAGAAGACCCTCTCATCTCAGGGCAAAAGTTTGTGATGAATAATAAGAAATAAAAAGGGTAATGATAAAGAGATTAAATTTGGAGACTAAATTTGTAAATTAAATGATATGTCACGAATTGAAATAAGCACGTTTATCAAGGTTTAAGTAATAAACCAATCATTAACTTCCATATTTTTTTAGTTTTCAAAACTTCGTCTACAAATTTAGTCTCTCTAGCTTACCCTTAAGTTAATGGATTTGAAAATTCTTCTAGCCATGGACGGGTTTTCATTGAGCCAAAAATAAGGAAAACGAGCAGTAGGCACATAAATTTGAAAAAGTTCAATTCACTTCTATTTTTACTTCTTACACACCTCTCTTAAATTTTGGTCGTTGGATCAAATGAATTGAAGAAAATCTATGGACAAAAATTAATAAAGTATATAGAGGTAAAAAGAAGTATTTGGATAGCACTACCGATTCGAAAACTGAGAAAGCCAAACAAACCGATGAAGAGTTGTAAACTTTAATGGCAAAGAAAACTAACGTCTGTATGAAATATTTTCTTTATAGAATTTTAAAACTTAATTGTAGTTAAATTTATACTTAATTATAAGTGACATGCCAAGTCCTAAATCATCGAATTAGTATAACAGTAGACTGAGTGAAATGTGAGTAAATACGCAAAGAATAAATGCAGAGACGCGAAATTCATGTATCATGTATTTGGCAAGAGGCCTATACTATATTTAGAGTGACGTATGCTCACCGGGTTGTCATATTTCTATACTCCTTTTCACATCAAAATGTTATACAATTTGCGATCTCCATTTTGTAGATTTTAAGCTGTAATTGGATTTGGGCAATTACTTTGAGGATCTCAAATTAGCAATACAGCCCAACGATCTGACAAAAAAGAAAGACAAACCGAATGGATCCAAGTTTCTCATTTTGCAGACGTCCCAACAAATGATCCAATTAAATTTCTGGTTTTTTTTTAATTTTTTTTAATTTTTACAATAGCGTCAGTGGTTAAATTGTTAGTTATTAGAGAGTGGTTAAATTGTTAGTTATTAGAGAGAAGAGAATCGGTGGGGATCAAACTTGAGGGGATCCATAGAGATCTTACCCGCATTAAGATGCATGGCGCCATCTTTCCGCTTGTACGGTAAAGCACCATTTGCAATTAAATTTCTGATTTTGACTCGCAATAAGGTCGAAAATAGATTCTCTATTTATATCTATATAAATATGTCAATTCTTTAAAGGGTTGCATTGATTCAAATTTTTGTAGTCCGGTCATGAGAAATTTAAACTAGATAATGATACGATTGACCGATAAAGGAAAATATGGTGGCATTACTTCAAATTTAAAATTAATAACTTTTTACAACCGGTTCTGAGTTCAGTCACATTTCCATTTACACAGTTACACTCCACCTTTAAATTTGAATTCTCGTTCTTTTATGACTACTTACCCTTTATCCCCAAAATAGATCTAAATAAAATATAAAATTTAGAGAAGTGAATGAAATGCATTGATGTCTGTGGTTTGGCGTCTGGACCCAACAATAGCCTTATGGGCCTTGCTGTGCTTCAGAAATAGGCATGCGCCCGTGGGTTTTTTTCTCTGTTGGGCCTTCCTTTTCTTTGGCCCACTCTCCCAGCAGCCTGAAGAGGCTACAAAGGCACTAGTAAACGAAGCTGACAAAGCTACCACCATGATCTTCATCGGAAAACATATGCATGATGTATTGCAAACTAAATACTTCACTGAAGAGTATCCATGCGCTCTCTGGCTCGCTATGACAGAGCGCTTCAATCACCAGACATATATATTCTTTCCTGAAGCAAGACATGACAACAACACTTACGCTTTCAAGATTTTAAGTCTGAATGAATACAACTCTAAAATTTATCAAATCTGATCACTTCTCAAGTTCTGTGACGAGAACTTGATTGAACAGGTTATCCTGAATAAAACCTATTCGACCTTTCATGCCACCAATATTGTCCCGCAGTAATAATATCGAGCACATATGTTTACCAAATTTTCGGATTTAACATTTGTCTTACTTCTTGTTGAAAAGCAAAACCTTAATGAAAAATTAGCTAGCTTGACCCACTGGCTTCAAGGCTATGCCTCAAGCGCAAGCAACCACTTCTCGAAGCCACAAACGACACGGAAGGCGTCATTGCCATGGCAAGAGACGGTATTCTCAACCCTGGGCCCAAGGTCGATAGAGAAAAGCCCACACAAGGGAGAAATTCGGCCCCGAAATGAGATTCCATCGCTTCTAAGGCCTCTAACTTCAGGAATAAGGGCAAAGCTTTCGTTAATCCAGATTCCACTAAATTAGATATGTGTTATCATTGTGGATCAAGAGAACATTGATCACGCATTTGCCGAGCTTCCCCTGATCGTCAGAAGGTTAAGATAAACTTTGTACAAGTGGTTAATCTTGAAGATACCACCATGAAGATTTTTATTTTTCAGCAGGCATCAGTTTCTATAGAAGAATAAATTTTAATTTTTTGGGACATGTTAAGGCCAAGTTCCCCTAGCGGCCAAACCCATTGTAGGCCAAACTCCCTCCCTTAATTTTTGTGGTTTACTTTTTCGATCAATTTCCTATGTACTTGGATTATTTGTTTGGTGTTTTATTTTGAATTTTTTTTTGGATATTTAAATTATGGATATTATTTCTCAAATGATTAATGAAGTGAATAGAATCATATTTATGCATATGACCGATTCAATTCATTTATTTCTATGTATGTCTTCTAGAAAGAGGTGATGATCAGCTACCTAGCACCACCTACGAAGATTTTTAGAACCGTGGCTATAATGTGATGCGCAAAACTCATTCAATATTGGATGAAGTAAAAGAAACAGTTGGCTTCAATAGAGAGGAACTCTTTGTATCACACATAAATATTAACAAAGAAAAGAAAGTAGGTAAATTAGAAGATTCAAAGTGAGTCGAAAATAATACTAGCCAGTAGCCAAGCAAGCATACACTTATTTGTATCTATCTTTATCGGATGTGTGATCCAACCACCAACACTATCAAGTTTACGACTAACCAGTCCAAGGGGTACGCAGAAAATTCATCCGAACAAGTTTATGGAGTCGAATATGTCCGAGAGAGATTCATTTATTAAACATGTTTATATACACATTAACCTGTATACCTTAAAAACGTCCAAAAGTTATGATATAGGAAATATGACAAACATCTGTTGCGGCAGCGGATTTCCACGAGTTTATAGTGGACATGTACAAGATCCTTGCACCAGTCTAGCAATGAGTTCATCAATGGAGGTTTGTGCCAGCAAAACATGAGAGCACTACAATGACATAACTTCAATGAAAATGTAGATTGGTTAGGACATATCTTTTAGAGGAGTCCCCTTTTTGTTTCGTTTTTCCAGCTCTGTCCCTTAATTTGGAAATAGTTGTTTGTACTCCGCCAGCAGCTTTGGGATGTCATCCAAACGCAACTGAAAACCACAATGTAATTAAAAACAATATGAGAAGAGAAAAAAAGAGATAAATATAAACACAAACTAGAAAAAAAAAAGTTCGGTGATGGAGGAAAATATGGTATCATGTGACAAGGATAATAATTAATTTGATTGCCTTGCATAACTAAGCCTGATTTATACCTGGTTAACATTTCTGATATGGTAAAAACCATAAGCCACTTTTCCAGGAAAACTAGACTCGAGGAACTGCATATCGGATCCACTATTTCTCCTATTATAGCCACGAAGAAAATTCCACAAAAAGAAAAAGATGGAAACATTAATCAACCAAGTTAGCAAATTAGCAACCGACAAATATGGGTTAGAATACAAACTTTCGTGGTTAGTTTATTTCATACATGGTTATTTTCCCCAAGCAAACATAATGTAAAAAATATGGAGAGAGACCAAAACATTTGAAATGCCACTGGACTGTGTCTAAATTTCAATTTTCATAACTTAAAAAATGATAAATTGATCACATTT